ATCAACACAGATTGAACTGACGTTGGAGGCCTTCTGATAGCACTGGACTAGAACTCTATTTACACTATTGTTTATGTTTAAGGCATTTGTTAATTGGCTGTATTTTAAAATTTAAATGGTTCTAAATAATTACAATTTGTATAGGAACACTTCTTTCTTGGTTTGTTTATGGTATTGACTGTAGATGGGAAAATGCCCCGACACTCGTCTCCTGAGATACACATGGGGAGAGAGAGAGAGACACAGATCTCCTGCAGAGAGTTACAAGCAGAGGACAGGGACACATCTCCCCTTTAAGCTACACAGATAGAGTGACTGGTGTGAACGGCCCTTTAGACAAATCTTTAAGGCCCCGTCCCCAGCCGGGGACTCTCTCATGGGCTCTCATGGGCTCTCTCACAGGCATAGGCCCTACGCCCCCCGTCACTTTGAAGACGCGGACCCAGCCCACGGGTCCATCGCCTGGACTGCCTGGAGCGGACAAGGGTCCACCCAGGCTCCATTTTGCTTTGTTCTTTTTATTGTTTTTGTTTTTTATATTTTTTAAATTAACTATTTAAATATTTACAAGAACTATTTACAAATATCAAAAAGAGTGCCTCCAGAATAATGTTTCGGACAGTATTCTGCCCTTCTTCAGATTCAAGGCACAACGAAATCTAGTCGAACTGGGAGACAAGTTGCTCTACTGAAGATCAATGTGAGAATGAGGAACAGAGCCTGTGTGTATCAAGGAGACAGAGAGGGCGGGGCGGGCTGGACATGCCCCGACTTCTCACCCGACTGTAATATGTACAAATATACAACAAAGTCTAAGAGGCCTGACAAGGGTCACAGGTCAAGTCCAGTGTCTGGTTAAGTTTAGGCACAGGGGCCTGTGTTCGGTTAAGGTTAGGGTTAGAGGATTGGGGTCAGGGTTGGGGTTAGGGTTAGGAACATAATTTTTAGGGCCACGTCCCAACTAGTGGAACGGGAACTAGGGTTAGGGTTACGGTCCGCACTCTCTCGCTGTGTGTTGTTCACATCATTTTATGGTTTTGTTTATGTCATTCTGTTTGGAATTTACTGGTTTGACTTTACTGGGTGGCTGTATTGCCGACCTGGGTTAAAAAAATTAGAGTAAAATGCATTAATATTAACAATCGTGTGGTATGTTGGGCATCCCTCTTCCACATTGGGTTATGTTCAGGCAAGATCCCTCTGTTGGGCTATGTTGTGGAAAAATCAAAATTAAGTGCCTTTAAGGACAACGTTTCAACCAATTGTAAGGTCTTCCTCAGGTCCAAGGCACTGTTGGGTCACTCTGTCTGTGTAGCTTAAAGGGGAGATGTGTCCCTGTCCTCTGCTTGTAACTCTCTGCAGGAGATCTGTGTCTCTCTCTCTCTCCCCATGTGTATCTCAGGAGACGAGTGTCGGGGCATGTTCCCATCTACAGTCAATACCATAAACAAACCAAGAAAGGAGTGTTCCTATACAAATTGTAATTATTTAGACCCATTTAAATTTTAAAATACAGCCAATTAGGCTTTAACAAATGCCTTAAACATAAACAATGGTGTAAATAGAGTTCTAGTCCAGTGCTATCAGAAGGCCTCCAACGTCAGTTCAATCTGTGTTGATACTAGTCAAGCGTGGGAAAATTTTAGCCGTTTAAAGTTTAAAGGGAAAGACAATATGTTTTGTCAACTGGTTAAGTTTAGGCATGGGCGTCTGTGGTCAGGTAAGGGGTTGGTCTAGGGCTGTGGACCCCTTGTTGGGTGTCCGATACTTTATTTAATTTTAATCATGTGGATCCCGTGTTGGGTATCCTCCTCCACGTTGGGTTAGAGGGTTAGGGTTAGGGTTTGAATCATGTTTAGGGCCCCGTCCCCAGCAGGGAACGGGTGATGCATGGGCTCTCTCACGGGCGACAGCCCTACACCCCCCGCTACTCTGAAGATGTGGACCCAGCCCACGGGTCTGTCGCCTGGACTGCCTGAAACGGACAAGGGTTCACCCAGGCTCCATCTGGCCTTGTTATTTCTATTGTTTTTGTTTTTTTAGTTTTTTTCTTTTTTTTGTATTGTTTTTTTTTTTTTTTAAACAAACTATTTATACATTTACAAGGACTATGTACAAAATGAAAAGGGAGTGCCTCCAGAACAACGTTTCGGACGGTAATCCGTCCTTCTTCAGATTGGAGGCACCAAACTCTAACAGCTGGGAGACAAGTTGCTCTACCGAAGATCAATGTGAGAATGAGGAACAGAGCCTGTGTGTATCAAGGAGACAGAGAGGGTGGGGCGGGCTGTATTGTTGTCATTATTCTGTATACACATATGCTCTGTTCCTGATCTCACCACCATTAGTATTACTAATGTTAGTGTGGCCAATTAGAAGGTGCATGCATGTCTCTCAAATTACAAAAAAAAGTAACTGAACAAATAAAAGATAAACAGGTTTAAAGGGACATTCCAGACAAATGATAAGGCAGAAAAGTCACGCAGTGCTTCTTTAAAATTGGACTCGACAAACACAGACCGGGGCCGGACCTCACACCGGGGTTGGTCCTCATATTAGGAGCGGTCCTCACATCGGGGTCGGCCCTCACACTGGGACCGGTCCTCACACCGGGTTAGGGTTAGAAACTGTGTTAAATGTCTGAGGTTCTGGCTCTCACACGGCTGTCAGAACACTGAGCTCCGCTGCGTTGCGGCTGAGGTGTCGGTGTCCGACCACGGGGCCCATGGGAACGGCGCCCGCGATGGACCAGAATCCATCCTGACATGATGGAATGTATGTGGTGTTTGTTGGGGTTTTGAGATTTTAAGTTTTAAAGAAACAAAAGAAAATAAATAAAATGAAATGAATCAACAAGAGAAAGATTTAAAAAAAAAAAGTGGTGAAAACTAAAAAAGAGTAGAAAATGTGTGCCAAGAAATGCCTTTTCGACCGGTATTCCGGTCTTCTTCAGGGTGTCGGGTTAGAGTTAGGGTTAGACAAATCTTCTTCTCACCCGACTGTCAAACAGTATTGTTGTTATTATTCTGTATACACACATGCTCTGTTCCTGAAATCACTGACATTAGTATTACTAATGTTAGTATGACCAATTAGAAAACAAAAAGTCTTTTGATAAAATATTTCTTTGTATAATTAGACTATTTACAATATTTACAAGTATATAAACAAGTCAAAGAGGCCTGACAAGGTCACAGGTCAAGTCCAGTGTCTGGTTAAGTTTAGGCACAGGCCCCTGTGATTGGTTAGGGTTAGGGTTAGTGAGGGTTAGGGTTAGAGGTTTAGGGTTAGAAACTATATTTTTAGGGCCACGTCCCAACTAGTGGAACGGGAATTGCACGGGCTCTCTCTGAGAACTGACGGTCCACACTCTCTCGCAGTGTGTTGTTCACATCATTTTATGGTTTTGTTTGTCATTGTGTTTGGAATTTGTTGTGTTTGACTTTGCTGAGTGGCTATGTTACCGACCCGGGTTCAAAAAATTAGAGCTACTATTACTCTCAAATTATATTAACCTTGTGCTATCCTCAAATTAAATGTGGAAGCGTACTCCTCTGGAGTTAAAACAGTTTCCAAATATAAATGACCACCAGAGGGAGACAAAGCGAGCCAAAGTGTGTCAGATCACTCCAGTATATTGGATTATTGTTATTATTATTATTATTATTATTATTATTATTATTATATACTGGTCTGATCTGACACACTTTGGCTCGCTTTGTCTCACTCTGGTGGTCATTTATATTTGGAAACTGTTTTATTTTTTTGTCACTTCATTTTTATTAAGTATTTTATATAATAACATTCCTATAACAAAACAAAACAGGTACAGTCGGCAAGGAATTTAACACATGTTTAGATGGGGAGAAAATACATATATATAACTATATATACACACACACTTACATAAAAGGAGGGAATATATATATGTACACATATACTTATGATATACATACATAAATGTACACACAACACTCTTACATGTTCCCCTGGAA